AAACGCTCTTCCCAACTTTTAGAACAAGCAAACTCTTTGTTTTTGATTTTACTCCCCATTTCACTAGCATTTTCTTGCAAAACACTGCCACTTATAAGAACGTCTTCTTGGCTTTTTTGAGTAAACCACTTAATAAGTCCCTTGTCAACATTTTCATGTGCAGATAATTTTAACTTCCTACATCTAACAATTGTTTTGTCATACGCTGATAAAATGTTTTCTCTGTTTTTCCATATTGTTGCAACAGTAGACTTTCCAAGTGCTAATTCCTTACAAAGTCACTGTGCTTTACTCCACTTTTTATTTTGTTAATAATCTCGTACTTTTTATTTAGTGAAAAAGCTTTGCGTTTTTGTTTTTCCATTCTAAAACGATTTACATATATAACGCGGCAAAAAACAACAAGTCACTGGTCTGTTTTTCGCTCTCACTAATATAAACAACTCCGCACGATTCGTGTTGCTCAGCGTGGAAGTTCGTTATAAACGGAAAGTGAATATACAACTAACCTAAAAAGTGATCTTAGTGATTAAAAAATACTCTTAGTCTTTATGGACGACGTTTCAATTAAAGGAAAAAGTTCGTTTTAACCGAAAGTTCACTATAACCAGGTTCATTATAAGTGGACTTTACTGTATTTGTAAAACATTTTCAATTATGAATGCGTCAGAAAAGTTGCAGCGCTGAAAACAACTTTTCTATTGGAATACGCTATATTTCATTTTATTTTTGAATTGTGGAGATTGTAATTCAGATTTAATTCAACGGGAAAAATTTGTATTTTCAAGATGTTTACAAAGCGAATATTTCTCCGTCGACTTTGGACACAAAATTTTCACATTTGGTAGGCGAAAACAGTAATTTATTGAGGACATATTAGTATCTGGTTTGGAATATACTTGTCTTTTAACGAAGCTACTACAGGGCGGTCACATTAATCGTCCAAATTAACGGATTTTCAAGCTCAAAAATCTCACTTGTTTTAAATGGCACACCCTGTATATTGTCAATGTGAATTCATGCAAGATAATAAAACCTTTCATTTTGTTCTAGTTTACGAGAAACTTTAATTTTTATACTACAACATTGCATTGCGCTAGGTTTGCCAGGAATGAAAAAAGAAGAAAACATGTAGTAAATCTAGCAGCACAAACTTATGCTAGGGTGTAAATAATTTAATTTCAGTTCCTTAACTATTTTATTCCTATTTGGTACACATTACAAAAATAGCAAATATATTAATTTCGTGCTCTGGATTGTTGCGTATTGGCTGAAGCAATATGGAACATAATACTGTTGTCTCGCACCGCTCTAGTCGCCAATGCTTTTGAGTAACATTGATACAAAGACACATCGGTATCAACTGGATAAATTAGGTCTTCAGCCTTAATCCACACCTATAAACAGGGTAATTGTATATAATCCGGAGTGGGTTCTTAATTTATCATTTACCTCGTCCTTTAAAACGGAAAACGTCTCAACAACGCCCATATATTCAGACCATAAGGTTTTCCGATATTTAACATTGTGTCTTTTCACTAACGGCAACAACAAGACGTTTGCAAATACCTTGTTTCCGTAACTGACCGCTTGATATTGTTCCAACAGTTGAACAAAGAAATCGTTGAAGTTTCCAAGACCTGCAATGTCCTGTTCAAAATTCAGCTTGTCCTCGGCCTTGATGAGGAATTGGTATGTGCGAGTTAGCAAACGCTGCACCTCGTCGTTTAAAAACAAGTTGTCACTGCCCAAGAACAAACATGCCAATCGAACGTACTTTTCAGTGGGACTGATCGATTTCGCCAGACTTTCAAAGTGTGTTTCATAGATGAAAATCCATCGCAAACAGTTTACAATGATGAACAAATCTTTCGACTCATCCGTCGCTTTGTTCTTGGCTTTTTTCTGTTGGGTGGAATAGAACCACACCAGGGGAGTGTAAATCCAATCGATGGGTATTACGTTGCCTATACTCATGTCCAAAGTGAGAGTTGAGTCAAACGCCGTGGTATTCTAGAATAGGTAATGTGGTCGAAATGAATTTCTTTGGTTCAGTATTTAATAATATGATAAGTTTTGGGCTTCAGCTAGATTTGTACAGGTTTACCTAGCGATTGCAGGAAGTGATACTTTGCCGCACGCGGATTTTAGTTGCGGCAAATAAAGTGTGCAGTAACTGCGTGCACATACAAACATACTTTGTTAAAAATATGGTATGTTTGTTAAAAATAAATCCGTAAAGATGGGATCTTAAATTTTAATTTAATTAAATTAAATTTATTAATGTATTAAAAAAGTAACGTTTTCTTTTTTGAACGCTTGCGGTAAAGAAGCTTTATCGCATGAGCAGCTATCCAGATAAGATAATTTACATTTAGGGAGAATCTTAAATTTTGTATATATTTCTTAAAGAAACGATTTTTTTATTGATTTCTAAAGTGTACTTTGTTGCACGATATGCGATAAAGTAGTTTTATCGCATGAGAGCAAATGATGCTTTCCGTACCCAAAAGAGTGTGATCAAGTGCACTTTTATTGCAAGAATCTAGAGCGGTAAAAACACTTCTGCACGTTTTAGGTACAATATTTTACATAGGAGCATCTATCACTTCAACAAAGAAGTTTTTTTAGAACTTTCGAGAACGAACTTTTTATCTTAAAGCGTGCGGTAAAAATAGTTTATTTTCCCACCGCAGAGTACACGGTAATGGTATGTATCGAACATTATTTTTTATTCGAATGCAAGAAATGACACGAAGAACTGCAATAATTTCGAATTTTTAGTTTTATGTCAATGACGATTTTCTCATTGTGAAATTGCCAAGTACATATTCACGTAATTTTGTTTGTTTGTGGTTTTTCCAAAACGTAATTTTTCTCAAATAGCACAAATTTCAAAGTAATTGTCGCAAAGTAAGGACGCATTGAAAGATCTTCTTGATTGATTATCAGGCGCGAAAAGTACCTTTTTCTTCTGCGAAAGTGGGAGTTTTTGATTTATTCGAATAATAAGTACGCGCTATGTTAAAGTGGTGCCTTTGGAGCCCAAGTGGGTGCAGTAAAGTATTCTTCCAGCCATGCAAGTAGGTAAAACTTTTATATTTTGACTGCTGTAGATAATCAACTGAACCTTGCACACATTTTGTCAATGCTTTTGACCTAAGAAGCTTTCTTACATGTGTTAGTCCTAGCACGTCTGAGTAGACTTTCTTGATATCATCTAGATGCTTCCATGCGCGATCCATATCTTCGTTTCTCTCACTCAGCCGAATATTTGCCATCGCCACCTCCACTGAGTAGAATCTAAGAAAATAATCGTTAATCAGCAGATCAAGGAATTAGAGTTCGCTTCATACCTGGGACAAAACACTATATTCTCCAACAAGTACATCATATCAGGTTTCTGCTCAGAACTGAACACACACAGGCATTTAACTGCAATGTCGTAATACAGCGACGGATCGACTCTGTCCTGCACAATTTGAGCGATTTTCAGTAGATTCATTATCAACAGGCTTTCACATCTGGTAAACCAATTGCCCATGTTAAAGTAACACTTGGCCGACTTCAGAGCGTTGGTGTATTCCTTTACTTTTGGGTCGTTCAGAAACTTGGTTTTCAGCTACAATTAACTATATGTACTCTATTGTCTTGAAACCTACAAACTCACTACCTTTGCTGACGACTTGTCGCTTAGTATGCACATGGAAAGGGCATACAAGAAAGGTATGCAGCTGTTCGTTTGCATTACTGGTACAATATGATCCATGGAAAACCACGTAGCAGCCTCTAGTGACTTGAGATTAGCTGTGGTTTTATGAGTTTCGTAGTTGTTTAACAGCAAAGAACCATTTCTAAAAGGAATTTTGTAATTTTCTAATAAACTAGCTGATTTTTTGTCCGTAGCAGTTCTTAATCGTGTCTCCCATATATTAAAAAATGGTAGATAAAATGATACTTTAACTGCGAGCATAGATAAAGAATTACGTTTTTAAATATCATCTTTTTACAACGTTATTTTAGCTTTTCTGACTTCTGTTTAAAGTATATTTTTATGAACCACATAATCAATGATCACGATTCTCGGTAATGAGACGACTGGAGAGAGATTTATGTATGTATCTTTTTTTGGATGTGTACTCTTCAACTTTTTCCATCTTGTGTAGTATTCTATATAAAATTTGCTTATGCCAAACGTCGTTTAAATCAGGATTTATGTGGAGTCTATTTAGCTAAGCATAAAATATAAGCGCAAAAAATACCCAAGCGAGTCCAAACATAGCACAAATCAGAATCCATATCGTCTCCCGATGCCAATTCACTCGGAAAATTTTTAGTCGGTCAACATTTAAATTTTATCGCCCACTTACATAACATTAGCAGTAGCCGCATTGAAGCCGGTGGAATCCAGGATTGTTTCCAAAAGCTCCACATTGTGAATGCTTGTTCCATATCTGCTGCGTGCAGCAGCATAATAAAGTATCGCTGATGAAATCTGGGATCGGCTACACTGAAATCAACCATTAAATTAAAGTCCATCCAACGCTTCTGGAGCGCCTAATTTACCTTATACTGGTCAAAATGCTGCCACTGGCTTATCCATTTCGCGAAACATTTTCTGGATAAATCTGGGAATAAGTCGATGCCTTTTTCCGCAATTTTCGCTAGGAGAATCAGAAGCGCCCCAAGGTGGCTTTGTCTTATTAGAGTGGTAGCGCTGGCGTTGTCGGTATGTTGAAAGTGATAGTCCAAACATTTCATCAAAAATGGTTCGTTTTGCCTGCAAAAACATTATAAATATTAGGTTTTGAAAAACGCTGACTGTCAGCCAAGGTTATTTTCATCTCAAGCCCGTCGATCTGAACATTGCGGTTTTTTGGGTCAAAAACGAGTTAATAAGCATCGAAACCACACATAAAAACTTGTTTCTTGGCCAACAAAAATACAAAGAAACCGATATGCCTTATGTTATTTTCAAAAACATTTTAACTTTTGAAATGCCCAAAATTGTATATAATTTTCCTATCAAGCGAGCGATTAATGCAACGAGCTCCCTGAAACAAACGCTGGTCTCTTCAGACTAAATAATAAAAAATGTTGATTTATTTTGAGCGGTTTCGATCTTAAGCCGCCGATTATGAACTCAAACCCTCTATATATACAGAGTGGGTGATGGTTGATGATACTTATTAAATCACTCGTGGTCTAAAGGTTTAATTTTTCCTCAACAAGCAGCGTTAACGCCTATACCAAAACTAAGCATCAACTTTGCTACTTCATATGATTCAATTCGTCGCCCTGTATGTAATAATAGTGTTTTTGAATTCGCAATTACTTTCCACATTGTCTTCTCTCATACTCGTCTCTAAAGGCTTCCTAGTATTTTTTATTTTCCATATTGTTTTTCACAGCTCTCTTTTTTCATTCCTTCATTAGCTTTATTCTCTCATTTAATGTTTCTAACTGCGGCATAAAAGTCGAAAAATGTTCAAATTTTGAAGACAAGTTTGAAGTGTAATGTGACAGGATCGTGTAAAATTAGTGGTTTTAAATCGTAATTTTTTATATATGTATATTGCTTGAGATAATAGTTTGAATCAATAAAACGAAAATTTGAAGAAAACTTTTGTAATAAAGTTTTGGCGACACTTTATTCTTCCTGGTAATGTAACCAAATGCGGGAAGTTCTAATGAGATGTTTTCCGAACAACAACATCGAATTGATTTCGTTTTCGTCGTTGAAGCGTTATTTAGTGCAATTATTTTTTTATTAGGTAAATAATAAAAATTAGGTAAACAATAAATTAGGGCTTCAGACTAAGTTTCTACAGAGTGGTAACACTTTTTGATCTTGTAGTGATAATTTCTTTCCCTTGAACCGATTTTCAAAATATAGGGCTCATGTTGAGGCTAAAACTTCACAGTCGACTGCAAAATATGCATTTTGCAAAAACTGATTTTTTGTCCAACTAAGAGCATACCGAACTTTCCAAAATTTTGCATTTTTTCATTTGCCACCCTGTAGAAAATTTCTCTGCGGTGCTTAATTTCTGTCAAAGCATTGACTAACAGATAATAAACGGGGCTAAATAACGCTTCAAACAGAATCCAAATCGCTTGAAGCAATCAGCATTTATGCAGTTCCAAAATTGCAAAATAACATATATTATATACAGAGTATCTCATTTGAAATAGCAAAGTTGATACTTTTTGGTACAAGCGGCAATGATGCATTGTTAAAAATATTTTAAATCGTTAGATCACAAAATTGAATCTAGAAGTAGGCACATTTTCAGAACAATCCAAATTCGTGTTTCCCGTCCATATATCCGGAAGCCACCCTATATATATTGAAGAGGTTCTTACCTCGAAAACTTACGTAAATAGTTTAGAAAACACGCAAGGTAAGAACTTGTTTTTTGGCCAAAAAAATAGCAAACTTAAAAAGCTATTGAACTTAAATCTCACTCACCTTATGGAATCGGAGGCTAAACCATAATGTATCAGGACTGTCCAATAATGGAAGCATTCCACTTGCAGTCGCATTCCAGCCACGTTTTGTGCAAAATAGTCGTCGTAAAGATAGGCCACCACAATATTCAATAAGTTATGCTTATTCAGTAAATGTTGTGCAAGAGTTCTGCTTCTGGTCGATAAAACCGTTATCAACTTAACCATTTGGGGCAGCGGCATGTTGTAGCCCGGCCCTTCTTGAGAAATGCCCATACTCTTCGTGGGCGGCAGAAAATACTTAACAAGGCTGCTTAAAAGCACCTCGGTTTGGATCATTTTATTGACAATGAATTCCGAATCTCTTGCAAGCCTTGTCAGTATTTCAATGCAGTAGATTATTGTTTCTGTTTGGGGTTTTACCGAATTGATGATATACCTGAAATTTATTGCGAATTTAAACGTGCGGAAAGCGGAGGAAAACGATTCAACCAGTTTTATTTTTTCAAATGCTTAATCAGAGAGCAAATCGGTTCTGGTGATGTTTCAGGGAAAAGTTCTGCAGCATTTCTTTATATTAATATTTGTAAGTTGAATTTTAAATAATATTTAGGATGTTTTCAGTTGTTTTTCCTGATTAAGATACATTTTAGGTGCAGTTAATGTTATCAAAGTTGTTGCCCTATTATTTCTTCATAGCAAATATAATGTATTCGCACACAGGGTGTTCCGTAAGCACATGATCAAATGGGTACCGCGATATTCTTTGGATCAAAAGAAGACGATCTGACCTATCTGGCTCTTCTCTCTATTGATTATAAAATAATATTATCGCGTACTACGACGTATGCAGTTAATGTCTAATATTGTTAAATCAAGGAAACAGAAATCATTTTTGCGCGAAAGATATGAGTGCTACAATATTTTACAAAGAGCCCAAAAATATACCAAAAGGATTAGTGCATCAACTGGAAAAAATCAGTTGATTCCAGCTACTAACTAAAAAATTCTGGTAGTCTTTGCACCAAAACAAACTCTCACTTGCCCAAAGTGGATGAACTCGGTTATATGAACAATTTCACGAGTTTATGTTTTTGATCAAAATAATTATAGGCTTACGGGACACCCTGTAAATTTTTTAAATATGTCCACACCACACTCAAAGAAAAGCTCTAAAGCTGCTCACCTAATCCTGGAAAGTATCTCAGTTCTGGCCAAACATTTGATCAAATTAATCTCAGCTAACTGTTGATCATTCACTGTATTGTCATCTTCTTTAGTTTCATCGACTGCTAATGTCGGCTGGATTATTCCCACCCCAAAACTCCACATGTTGTCCAAACACGTTTCATCGATTTGAAAATACACCAAGTTTCGCAAGGCTTTAACTGCCGCAGTAAGCACTGACGGTGTGTTATCGTCCAGACAAACTCTTAGAACAAAAAACACTTGCTCAATAGGAATATCGATGACTTGGTCGTACATTCCCGTTTGATCCAAACTGAGGACGTTTCCTAATGTGTTCAACGCGATAATTCGCTGTTGAATTATATTGGATCTGGACAAAAGCAGCAATTCCTGCAAGCTGTATCCAGGTCGTTCGGGTTCGTCTCCGTGGTGGAACAAATGGCGATTGGTCTCAGTTATTTGAGCTGCACCATGTGGCAGGAGGTATCCTTCAAAGTCAAAGCGCGCCTCAAAACCCTCGGTCTTCTTTAGGGATGTTATGGGCATGTTCTGCATCCAGGCCAACTTGTTCGCTTCAAATTCGTTGAAATTTAACCAACCCGCGGCATCAGGCCTTGATAATATTTCCTTGGGCACGTCCAGTTGATCAACACTCATTTCCTCAGCTGCTTCATTTTGTTCTTTGATTGTTTTATTTCGAGTTTCACTTTCAGTATTTGGTTTAGAGCTGAGAAGTTTTTCCAGTTAGTTAAGTAACAGAAACTTGCAAAAACTTACCTTTGGGCCCTTAAAAACTGCACTATGGCTGGATCCAAAGAGGCTAGAAGTTTTTCCTTTTCAGCCAGGATTTCCTCAGCACTCATTGAATGAAGCGTTTCTAAGTTCTGACTGTGAATCTGCTGCCGGTCAGAGGATGATAAAACTGTGGATCTTTCTGCTGCTGTAGACACTGGAAGCCACGCATTTTCAATCAAGGAATTTCTAGCAAAGCGAATAAAGTACCTTTGGTCGATGAGCTGGTAGACACTGTCACACTTCCATCCAATTTGTTTTCTCTAATTTGCAATTGCATGGTATCCATTGGCACTTGATCGGTAGCCTTTTTCAATAGTTTGGTGTGCTGGGCAAAGATGCTGCCGCTTTTTGGATTAATGCTGGGCTGAAATAATATGACGTTGAGTATTAAAAAAGGCTTAATTCATCTGTTCGTACATCTCGTTTGGATGCTTTTGGGAAGCCGCCACTATCGAACTTTAATCTGCTGATGTCCGTGGAAATTCCATGCTTTGCGGAAATAGGTCGCAACGGAAAATTGCTGGGAATATCCTCAAATGTGTTCTCTATTCGGTCTCGAATGTTCGAGTTCTTGTCTTCTACAGTCTCAACAGGGCCCCTCATTTGTTGTGTCGTGGAAATGCCATTTTCTATAATAATAATAATCATAATAATAATATTCTAACTTTTGACTGTGAATATTTTCTCAGTCGGTGATCCAAGTTGAATCATTTTCTTTTATTGAACTGCAGCTCTTTTCTACAACATGTACGTTATAAGATATGCAAAAAAATGAAATAAACATATTGTACCAGGTGTTTAAATGTAGTCATATTTTCTTGGTCAAAGTTTCAATTCATTTCAGTTACGATCAATCATATACCGTTTTTTACACAAAATATCTTCTTAATAACGTTCTAAAATTACAATTATTGTATTTTGAGCAAAAATAAGTAATTGATAATCTGAAAAATATAACTAGTCTGAAAATCAGAGTTCCTTCAAAAATCCGATTAGCCCCACCCAAATTGTAGCAAATTTGTTTATTAACAATATGCCGAGCCTACAGATAATCTCTACTAGCTACTTTTCTTGTAGACATGCGGATTTCGACCACATTGTACAGATAATTTTGTTATCGACGTATCTTGAAAGCAAAAAATATATTTTATGAGTTGCAAACAAGAAGGCCGCAATAAGGCAGTTGCGTCATTTGTTATCTTACTGAAAAGTAGTGAATTCATCGTGATTCATAGAATTCGTGAATCAAAAGTGACCGAAAACCGCATCATACACAAAACTGCATTGAGATTGACAAAAATTAGTCAAAACTTGGTTGGTATAGGTTGCTCATTTCATGTATCTAATTAATGCAGTGCAGAAAGCATAGTACTCAAAATATTAGTTATTTTAGTATTTATACTGTACGAATTGAAGCACTTTCATCACAGATATTTGTGACTGCTTACAGAACATGAGATTCTTGGTTCCCGCTCTTTAACGGGATTTTACATGTTTGAAGCCCTTTAGGCATATTTGAATATTTTTCGTCTCAATATGCTTCGAACACTTAAAGTATTTTTTCAAAACAAGATTTCAGAAGCCTTAATTTTCCTCGTTCATTCTAATGCCTGTTTTCACACAAATATAGAAAGCGTTTGACGTCAAAATAATTATGTGGTTGAAGCAATAACAATTCTAGACAATGCTCTTTCTACTTTACAATTAACAGCAACTAAAACAAATGCATACCTCTAAAAGTGCGAGATCTTTTAAATAAGAAAGTACCTTTGGTTGCTGAGCTGGTAGACATTGTCACACTTCCATCCAATTGTTTTTCTCCAATTTGCAATTGCGTGGTATCCATTGGCAGTTGAGCGGTAGCTTTTTCCAATAGTTCCATGTGCGCGCCAAAGATGCAGCCGCTTTTTGGATTAATGCTAGGCTGAAATAATATGACAAGTTGAGTATTAAAAAAGGCATAATTCATCTGGTCGTACATCTCGTTTGAATACTTTTGGAAAGCCGCCACTATGGAACGTTAATCTGCTGATGTCCGTGGAGGATCCATGCTTTCTTTCCAAAATAGGTCGCAACGGAAAATTGGTGGGAATATCCTCAAATGTGTTCCCTATTCGGTCTCGAATGTTCGAGTTATTGTCTTCTACAGGCTCAACAAGGCCCCTCATTTGTTGCGTCGTCGAAATGCCATTTTCTTTAATAATAATAATAATATTATAACTTTTGACTGTGAATATTTTCTCAGTCAGTGATCAAGTTGAATCATTTTTTTTCTTGAACTACAGTTCCATCTTGGACAAAATGTACGTTATAAGATATTATGATTTATTTTCCTGACTGCGTGTACTTAACAGTTGTACAGTTTGTGTAAAATTTTAAATCTGATGATGGCGCTGTTGTCGCGCCGAAACGTAATGAAATAAATGATGTTTCAAAATTTTTACTTCACACTTTGACTGAAACCCAAGAAAGATAGGAATGTTATAAGATATGCAAGAAAATTAAATAAACATATTGTACCAGGTGTTTAAATGTAGTCATTTTTTTGGTCAAAGTTTCAATTCATTTCAGTTACGATCAATCATATACCGTTTTCTACACTAAATATCTTCTTAATAACCTTCTAAAATTAATGTAAGATGATTTAGATCCTTAGAAAGGTTTTTTGAGCAAAAATAAATAACTAATAAGAAATGAATAACCGTGTTCAGGGTGGGTGCTACCGCCATACCGTTAAGCCATCAGAATCTACCGTTAACGTTACGTTAAATACTTTCAAAAAATAAATTTATTTATTGTATTAATATATTTAAATTATATAATTTCAGTTTTTTTAGGAATTTCTGTAAGACGTAAGTAAATAGTGCCTCCAATAAATTCTAAAAGGCCACCCAACAGGCAAATTCACATTTCGACAGTTTCGGTCTATCTCAGATAAAGATCTCTCAAGATCTTTACAATGGATTGCATCATTTCACGCTGATAAGATTTACTCATAGCAGTTCCATTACTAATGCATTTTTCAAATTTAGTTGCAGAGAAGAATTTTCAAAAACTTGTTAACGAATAGAGAATCCTTAGAAACTCTGTTTTCGCAAAAATTATATAGACGTCATCTCAATACCATCGTCTTGGCTAAATGTACAAGCTGAGCAATATCCAGATGCTGAGTTTGCCTCATTCCTCTGCAGAGACAGAAAGGAAGTTTTCGCAAATTAATTTGTTGAAAACGAAGCAGATAAATCTATTAGCCACCAATTGTATGGTTGGTCTGATGCATTTGCAAGAATACATAGGATGCAAAAATGCTTCAATTTAAAAATTGATAAAAAGCTCTTGGAATATCGCAATAGTAACATGTACAAAAGGTCTGATAGTTTTTCTGACTTAGAATGAGTTATTTGAATCAATTGAAAAAATAAAACATGTTTTTTATCAAGTTATGATATATTTAAAAAAATATTTTTGTCATAATTTATTTGTTAGTTAGGTAGAACTTATGGACAAAGGAATGATTATTTTTAATTGCCCGTTTTGGTAGTTATGCTGCCATCTATTTTCTCATTTGATAAGTTTCGACAGAGTAGTACAACTCGGTTATTTATTTTAATATTATGTAAATTGAGTTATTAATAAAATATTTTGTTCAAAAGGAGATTTTCTTTTCAAAAGTACCTTAAAAAACCGCTTAAAAAAATCGAAAAACAGAAATTTAGGGACAATAAATTATCTACCGTTTTATTTCTATCCATTCTACCGCTTTCGAAGTTCGTCGTCTGGCAACGCTGGGTATGTGATAGTGACATTATAGTAATAGGGGAAGAGATTTGCTGGACAAGTAAATACGGCAATTTCTCGTGTTTTTGGTGATATTAATAAACTGTTACGCTTAAAAGAAATCGTGCGAAGTGGTTTCATTTGCAGGAAAACCGGCCTAAATTTTCCTAACCTGTACTGTTTTGCACGATTGTAAACATGAACCAGTGGCGTGAGTTGTTTTGAATTTATAAGCTAAGAGCCATATTCGATCCCTATTGAATCGCTATCAAATGCTTAAAAAAATTGCGTTTGTAATATAGCGTTTATAATTGTAAACATATAATGTAGAGGTAAAGGTCAGACAATGAATGAATCTTTCATGCTTAGAATAAATCGATTATTACAGATTTATACTACGCCTATGGCTAGCAGCCAGGCCAGTTGATTTTCCGATTAATTCTACTCTTTGATCGGCACCTACTTTATCACCTGTTTTTCATTGATAAATTTGCGATCGATAGAACTTAATGTTGGTCCCAAACAAATCGGGATTTATGAATGACTAGATCGGTCTATTTATTAATGTCGATAGTCAGTTGATCGATTGTTTATATTTCTTTGGAGAATTCAGCACAATGCGGTGTTGCCACTTATTTCACCCATTTATTAACAGTTTTTGTGTAACAATGAATAAAAAGTATTATTTTAAAATGAATGAACCACTTGATTCAGTTTGTGTTAGTATGGTAGCTAGTGCCTATATAACCCTATCTAACCTAAATTTAATGAATCTACATGGTATCCAAGGTAACAGTTTTGATTAACTTAAAACATTTTGCGCGGTTTGGCAATACCGCTCGAAATTTAACCTGAAAATGGGGATTTTTCTCAAAGTATATGAATGTTTTTTGGCCTAATTTATGGATCGTTGAATAACATTTTGACTGAGGGTGAGGATTTGAAGTGATCTTTAAGGTAAGGAGGTAAGGCAACAGTTTTTGGTGGCTTTACTGGAGCGGTTGAAATTACTCTAGGTACATTTTGGTTGGAAACGGGGCTAACTTCCGCATAAGTAGTTTTAACGATTGTACATTACCTTTGTTGGCTTTAATTAGTTTTGCAGCTGGAAACACTTTGTTCGCTGCTCTGTTTTTGAGAAATTCTGCCTGTTGCCTCAAGATTTCTTCGTCGTCCTCATTAGTATTTGGACGTTTCAACGATGCCATTGTGGTTGCTTCCATGCAATGTAATCAGTTTAAAGGTATATTCGATTTATTAATTACAGTTTTGTTTAAGATAAAGTAAATATTTGGTTGCAAGAAACTTCACATGTGCCGCACATTGTTAACCTAAACCGGACACTTTATCTATGTCTCTGCCTAACCACAGACCTCACTATCATAGATAAAGACAGGCTCACTATTCATAGAATAAGGCTCACTATTATATAGACCACAGACCAGGACCACTAGCGCATATATGCTAACTTGACTCGTTGTTTTGGTTTAAATGACATGCACAAGTTAGTTTGAGGTTACGTTAATCAAAACAAACTTCTATTTACCAAAACGGCATGATACAATGAATACAAGGTAGGATCTTGCGTCGATTTGCGTGACGTCAGTGGAAATTACTGCGTTTCGTGATTTTTTCCTGTCTGCTTAATGTGATTAAATATAGCTTATTTAGTCTTTGTCACATTTAATTATTTTTTAATAAATCTTTTTTATATATAATATATATAAAAATATATATATATACATAATAATATAATATATATATATAAATCTTTTTTATATATTTTATATAATAATCTTCTTTATAATTACAAAATACTTTGCACCAGGTTTTACACCTGAAAATAATATTTTTTTGAAAATTCTGAAAATGGCATATTTTGCGAATGGTTTACTTTTATTCTGCAGGATCTGCTAAATATTGTGCAGCCTCTCACAATAGATCAAGCTAAAAAGGTTTTTTACGTTTCAGGACGACTGAGCCAACGATTAATCGGATAGCGAGTGTTTAATTTTGCATTCAAAAGTCGCCCCATGAACGGCGATTTTTGTTCATCTTTCTTTACCCGAGAAAGTAACTTTATTTACGCTAAATATTCAAACCACTTCGATCGCCGACTGGAAATTTGCAGAAAATCGTCATTAAGAAAAAACTGAAATCGAACAGCATAGCAATACAATGAGTCACCCAAAGGGCTAGCGAGCAAACTATGATTATGTAAGTTCTGTAGGTCGGTGGGTTTTTTATGTGATAAACACCTTAAATTCGCATGAGTTTTATTCAGTCTAATATGGGCAAAGGACTAAATTGGTCGTCGGTTCTTTGTTCATAAACGGGATAAAAGTACCAATTTAGTGCCATTTAGGCACCAACGGTTGATTATCTTACCTGTTAATTGCTGAGTGTAATCCACATTTATTTTCAACTTTGTGTGGATTCTCATTGTGTGGACGTGTAGTGTGTGCTTTTTGTTGAATAGACAATGACGAATCGAGCGTCAGTTTGCAAAAAACATGTAAGGATTGAACTGAGTTGAGTTTTCGAGAAACATTAAAAGTTGGATTTAGTTTCCTATTTATTTTTGTTTATGTAATAAAGTTAAGTTAATGTAATAAAACAGATTTATCTTTTTCCCCAGGTAGTACAATGCAGATTTCGGTAAGTTTAGCATCACTTTTACCGTGCGTGATCCTGGCCAACCCATTTAGATTTTCTGTTTTTTCAATTTTTTTTAACCAGCATACATACATGTATGTATAATGCATTCATGTATTCATTTCGCAGAAGTGATTAAATCACCTGTTTGTTAAAAATGTAAGCAAATTATTTTTGGTTAATCGATTCGTATTAGGGATTTTCAGGGGCTGGGATCCGCCCGAATAATTGCATTTTTTATTGTTTATCGCTATATATTGCTTAATGCATTATTGGAGGATAGCACGTTAACACGTTGCGTGTGATCCGGGCCAAATCATTTAGATTTCGGGCTGTATTTTCCAAATTTAGACACTTTCTTTTTCGCTGAACGATTCGTGGTAGGCATTTTCAGGGGCTGGGATCCGTCCGAATAAAAACTGATTTTTTGAACACCAAGTCACTTATTTTAAATGTTTCAGCTTTCTGTAAGTTTGGCATTACTTTTCTCATGGTTTCCAGGTAGACGTAGAACTTTTAGTCCCATATTGTTGACTTGTGTTTTATTATATAAACGCTCGTCATTTTTATTCGCTGAGGAACGACGAGGGAGATTCTGGATTCTGGCTAGGGTTTTGTCATTTTCAAATTGTCTTTTCTGCAAAATACTTTTCTGTGCTTATATGAACTCTCACATTTTTTTTGTCGCATTAGGTAATTTTTTACTGGCTTTTCTCTGTGATTTATACCCTAATTCAAACTCTTTTCGTAATCAAAAATTCGGCTTGATTTTTCAAATTGAAAATAGTTTTCACTCGGTGTTTCATCATTAACTTGCCAGGTTTTCTACTGTGGAAGCTTTTTACTTGAAAATTTAAATAAAAAGCCAGCGTGTTCTACTGTGAACTACACTTTTTATTGTCCTGTTAGATAATTTGTTGGTGTCATGGTGTTTTTTTGCAAATACGCTAATTTAGATCCTTTTGGATTTTGATGGAAAAAATTTCCTTTAACTTTTTCTTAGTGGCGTTTCATCCGAACATGCCTTTTTCAACAAATTGTTGAAGCTCGACAGTTCACGGTTCTTCACTTCTTCAGTATACATACTGTAATCTTTAGGATTAAGGATATGAAAAAACATGAAAAATGTTGTTAATTGTCTTCGCCTAATAAATAGGCTCAAATGCTTTAGTGATTCCTACATGAAAAAGCGGGTTTATGCTTTGGAAATCATAATCTAAATATTTTACTGCTGCTTATGATTAGAAGTCACTACCAAATTTTTCGACGAAAATTAGGGAGCCGCCAGATATTATTAGATTAGTTTCATATACCTTTCATTGACCATAAAATAATGGAATAAGGTCAATATTGACCTCCGTCGGGTATTTTCAAAGATCCGGATTGCTGTGTCTGTTCCGACCCGCCCATCACTAATGTCGACCATTTTTCAGCCACAGATCACAGAGTATCTCTGTGATCTGTGCTTTCAGCTTTCTTAGGTTATATTTTGTCAACAAAGTTTGGTTTCTTTAAATAGTTCTTCTCATCTTGAAAATTGCCCCAATGGAAGATTCGCTTGATTTAGTAGTGGACGACTTAGAGTCGCCGATTCAAGACACTTTAGATAACAGTGAGGGTGTTGTGCAACAAAGTGCACTTGTTTCCCACGAAGCCCTGAAGAACACCGAAAATCTCCCTAAACCTACAAAGCATGTAAAATTGCCGATTTCCAAAATTAAGCATATAATGAAAATGGACCCGGACGTTACAATCATTCAACAGGACGCAGTTTTCCTCGTTTGTAAAGCTACAGTAGGCCAAGCGTAATTAGCGCTGAATTCAGTGAGTTTACTCATACACTTTGCAGGAAATGTTCATTGAATATATGGCCCGAGAGTCGAACAAACAAATGGCAAATAATAAAAGGAAAACTTTGACGAGGCGAGATGTAGACGTTACTATTGAAAGCAAACCTCAGCTCTGCTTTTTAGATGGGGCTTTGGAATAAGGACTTTAGGATACACAAATAAAACACACATTTTGATGAGATTTGCGATTTAAGTTCGTTTAAATTATAGCAGTTTAGCACATTAAAGGAAAAATTACAAGGCGCAGAACAAACTCGTAATTAATTATCTCTCTTGAACAAATGATCCAGAGTTGAACGAGAACAGTTTTCAATTCTGTATAAGGACAATTATTTTCTAGAGAAAATAACTTTCTTATGCAGGTTTAAAAATAGTATTCAAACTCAACTATGTGAAACAAATCAGCAAGCTTACTTTCTATTTCTATTCTTCCTTCGGGAAGCACCGCCGTCATTGTGCCCATACAAGGAGTTTAGCAGGTTCTCCAAATCAGGCCTGTCCATCCGAGGTGCCTGACTACTCCTCCTTGGCAGGCTGTTGTTCTGTTTTCCAAGGGCGATTCGATATTGCACATGATGCGTGTCGGGCTTCAAATGTTTCAGCGTTTCCTTCTGACAACCCGCCCAATCAGTTATATCATACACTGACCCTTCCATGCAGGCGTAATAATGCCAAAGAAAGCCAAAACATCTGGCTTCTGCCCATATGTCTCCTATGAAAAATTACCATATATTAACAGAGTGATACAGCTTTAATTCAGGAAAGAGGGCAATGGGCTCACAAAATTAAGTAGGTATACAATATTATACTTGAAGTATTTCGAAATACGGTAGGGCACAGAGCATTGAAGTTGAAAACTAGTTTTTCGTTCTAACTCCTACATACAGTAAAGTCCGCTTATAATGAACCCGGTTATAGTGAACTTTCGGTTAAAACGAACTTTTTTCCTTTAATTGAAACGTCGTCCATAAGGACCAACGTATTTTTTACTGGTTATAACGAACTTCCGGATATAACGATCACTTTTTAAGTTAGTTGTATATTCACTTTCCGTTTATAACGAACTTCCACGCTCAGCAACACCAATCGTGCGGAGTTGTTTATATTAGTGAGATCGAGATACAGGCAGTGACTTGTTTTTTGCCGCGTTATGTTTGTAAATCGTTTTAGAATGGAAAAACAAAAACGCAAAGCTTTTTCACTAAATGAAAAGTACGAGATTATTAACAAAATAAAAAGTGGAGTAAAGCAGAGTGGAATTTGTAAGGAATTAGCACTTGGAAAGTCTACTGTTGCAACAATATGGAAGAACAGAGAAAACATTTTATCAGCGCATGACAAAACAAATGTTAGATGTAGGAAGTTAAAATTATCTGCACATGAAAAGGTTGACAAGGGACTTATTAAGTGGTTTACTCAAAAAAGACAAGAACACGTTCTCATAAGTGGCAGTGTTTTGCAAGAAAATGCTAGTGAAACGGGGAGTAAAATCAAAAAGAAAGAGTTTGCTTGTTCTAAAAGTTGGGAAGAGCGTTTCAAGAAGAGGCATAATATCAATAGCGGAAAAATTGTTGGAGAGTCTGTCGGTGAAAAATTCCTCTTATGAAAACGTTAGAGGCGATCGATAAAAATGAAACATCTAAATATATAAATCTCTTAGATGCAGTCAATTTTATTCATAGAGCTTGGAAAAAAGTTAGCCGAAAAACCATTGCAAATTGCTTTAAGGATGGGGGATTTGTAAGAAAAGAAAATGATTATGAACCAGACGATGAAATTCCACTTAACGAATGGTTAGAAAAGTATAAAGACTCTGACTACGAGTATGACACAGACGAAGATGTCCCAATGTTGTCGAAGAACAAGTTAAAACCAAATTGAGTGATTTCAATTTCTTCGAATATGTGAGCATTGATAATGGCATTCTTACAAGAGAAATGTTGACCGATGAGCAAATTATAGACTCCGTAACCTCATCTACAGCTTTAAGCGATAATGAGAAAGATGACGATTTAGGTGAAACGTATTCTACTGTAGACAATAATGCTGTAGTAGAATAGATTTCAAATTGAATTTTGTTTATCTTTTTGTGTTCTTTTTAGTCATTCCTACTAACTTCTACTACTCTATGTAAAAATAACGAAATAAAACACACCACGTGTTTTTGTATTATTATTCGCTTATAGCGAACTCCGGATATAACGAATCAGTTTTAGTTCATTTTTTAAGTTTGTTATATCCGGACTCAACTGTATATTTATTAGAACATTGGAATTGGAACTTATTAGAACTGTACCCAAAAATACTTCTAATTTCAACCCCCTGTATCTCCCAAACAAAACCTTTGCGGACTTATATTTATATAAACTTTCTAATTATTTTCGGGAGATCCTCAAGCGATTTTCTTTCCCGATTAAAAATTGACCTACCTTCTCGAGCAGCATGATGAATTTTGCAGGATTTACAATTTCTAGCCGCGTAGCTAGGCCGATCCACTCTAATCCTCTTATGTCTGTCACCACATGCACTGCATCGAATGGTGTTTGCATTCATTTCCATTTTCTGCTGCAGCTTCTGCAGCAATTCGGCCATTTGACTGAAGTTTTGTACAACAAAAGCCGATTCTGCCACACCTAATACAAGTTTATTTATAATAACTGATCTTTTTTATGTAGATCTCTATAGAGAGAATACCTCTGTCATATGTTGCTCGTCTTTCAGGTGCTCCGATCATATCGAAGGCATGAACTAGTATCTTAAATGCCTCCTCGGCCCCCGGTTGATTATTCTTGTCTGGATGCACTAAAAATGCTTGTCGCTTGTAATACTTTTTAATGTCGTCATCTGTACACTTCGGAGTTACCCCTAGTATACTGTAGGGGTCCTTGCCTTTGCACGCTAATAATCTGGAAATTTAAATCATTACCCAACAACGTTTACTTTGTTTAGAATCTTACCTTTTCATCGCTTCATCTCCAGTGGTTGGCATGCTGATATTGTTGTCGATTCCATTATTCAACAAATTGTTGGTTTCCTCTTCGAGTCTCGGTTTTTTGTGATTCTTCTTGAATTTGGATTCAACCTTCTCCCATATCCATGCTGTAAGCCTACATCGTTTCAAAATCGTCTCGCTAGTACTGGTGAATGATGTCCAAAAGGCGATCAATTGAGTCCAGGAACTTATGATACTAAATCAAATAAATTAATTATTTTAATAACAGAAAATATAATTTTATATACAGTATACAAAGAGGTCGTTTCGTAATGGTATGCAACTATTTTCAGCTGGTGTTTAGAATGGTAATTTGCAGAGGGTTTTGAATGCTAATAAACTTTTTTAATTAGCATGGAAACCTTGCTTGTTGAAATAATCGATATTCAAAAATTGAACCTAAAGCGAGCAGAATCCACAAAATAGATAAATGGCACGTATTAATGAGTAATTTGTTGTTAAAACTTACACAACCAAAAAAGATAAGATAGGAAAAATGTTATTTTTTACTATTATAACTATAAAACCAGAAACAAATTATAACTAATTAATTTGGTTATTATTAGAGAATTATTTAATAATTAAATTAAATGAAATTTTGTGTTCTATCGATGCTGCAATTTGCTATACATAGTGGAATAAAGTTGGGACTCAATTTCTTTCATTAACTTGTGTTCAAAGTTTAAGCCGTTGTGAGAGAAAACCTTTTGTTGCGTCATGATTCCACAGGAAACTAAAACGTTTATTGGGAACACGTCCCTTCCAAACACACCGCTAAAATATTTATTCAACATTATGAAACATCCTGTATATATAGTTTTCATATAATAAAGATGATTGAATTTGTGAGCTCATATCACATGATGATGATTCAGCACAAAAAATGTACTATTTATAGTCACAAAATCTTTGTAGTATTCTCGTCCTGTACTAATCGAAAAGCAAACATTTTCGAACACAAAAAAGCTGCCAGTTCTTGTAGTTCTATATAAATTTTTAAATATATTTTACTAATGTAAAAAAATGTAATTGCTGCAATTTGCTATACATAGTGGAATAAAGTTGGGACTCAATTTCTTTCATTAACTTGTGTTCAAAGTTTAAGCCGTTGTGAGAGAAAACCTTTTGTTGCGTCATGATTCCACAGGAAACTAAAACGTTTATTGGGAACACGTCCCTTCCAAACACACCGCTAAAATATTTATTCAACATTATGAAACATCCTGTATATATAGTTTTCATATAATAAAGATGATTGAATTTGTGAGCTCATATCACATGATGATGATTCAGCACAAAAAATGTACTATTTATAGTCACAAAATCTTTGTAGTATTCTCGTCCTGTACTAATCGAAAAGCAAACATTTTCGAACACAAAAAAGCTGCCAGTTCTTGTAGTTCTATATAAATTTTTAAATATATTTTACTAATGTAAAAAAATGTAATTGCTGCAATTTGCTATACATAGTGGAATAAAGTTGGGACTCAATTTCTTTCATTAACTTGTGTTCAAAGTTTAAGCCGTTGTGAGAGAAAACCTTTTGTTGCGTCATGATTCCACAGGAAACTAAAACGTTTATTGGGAACACGTCCCTTCCAAACACACCGCTAAAATATTTATTCAACATTATGAAACATCCTGTATATATAGTTTTCATATAATAAAGATGATTGAATTTRTGAGCTCATATCACATGATGATGATTCAGCACAAAAAATGTACTATTTATWGTCACAAAATCTTTGTAGTATTCTCGTCCTGTACTAATCGAAAAGCAAACATTTTCGAACACAAAAAAGCTGCCAGTTCTTGTAGTTCTATATAAATTTTTAAATATATTTTACTAATGTAAAATATATTTTACTAATGTAAAATGTACTAATGTAAAATATATTTTAATAATAATATTTTATATTGTATTTGATAATATTAACCGCTTATCAAACTGCATTTCTGTGATTTAGTTTTTAATGCGTTTAGTAAAGGTATTTCAATGCATTTCGGTTTTATGAACGGTCAAATATTTTTAATCTGCCTTTATTCATTCAAATGATCACATTTTTGCTGTTGCTACGTGGGTAATCTTTTGCCATTTTTATTATAAAACTTTGTATCACGATAAGTAAATATCTGGGTAAATATATTTATTATCATTTGTCGTGAATTCATTTTTGATGTCTTTCTTTATTTGGGTTATTGAAATTGAAATGATGTAACATTCGGTCGAAGTAACTTTTATTTTTTCATGTCATGTATACGGTCGAAGTAACTTTAATTTTTTTCTGCATATTAATGGCAACGGGTTTATTATCATTCACTCTATTATAAAGTGGGAGAGTTGAACATTGTAAACACTATTTGAACAATCAGAAGTGAAAAGGCAGCATTTTCCTACACAAATTTTCTGATATTCTTGCGTAGAATATACATCCGTCATTTAATATTTAAACAAAATTTCTGAATACAAACGTAGGACGTACGAAATTCTAGTTTAATTAAAAATTATGTTTTTTCATACAGGGTGTCTCAAATTGAAGTGGCAGATAAACCTTACATTTAAAAAAATACAATGCCTTTACTTTTGCTTGTTTTACCTTGCTTGTTTTAACGCATATTCGAACCATTAATTTGATAATGATTGATGAATATAAAATATAAACTTATTGGCTTGAACATACACATACACAGTTTTTTAGTGTACTTAACGGTTGGGGAAGTTTCATGTTCAAATATTAATCAAGCCGGTTAATATTCAGCGCATATAACAAGATTATTGGCTCCGTTGGCATTTAATTCAAAATTGCAACTCAAAAGTGATTGATTTAAGTAGATTCGCTGATTTTTATGCATTATACACAAGGAACACCAATATACTAAATGTATTAACTCCCCAAGCATGTTCCTGTGCGTAAAACGTTGAAATAATACAGTAAAAAACACTTACAAATCGCGACCCAGATGAACACTAAGGCTGCAAACATCAGAAATCAAATGGATTAGCCACAAAGCGAACACTGTGAACACCTTCCACCATCCTTTTGTATAGAGCTTGATTTTATCCTTAAGAACGCCTAGAATTAGGAAACTAGATTACATTTTTCAGTTGAAACAAATGCGAATAATAAATTCCAAGTACAACTCACTGTGAAAAGCCTTTCTGTTAGAAAACATTGATGTATTGGTGGTTACACAAACCTTATCTTATAACAAACACAAATTGCAGTATCATGTTTCAATGAAGTTTCTAATTATCTTGTTTACGTTTATCATACGCATTGCAAAATACTTACACAAAATCAGCTGGCTTTCCTTCTTTCTCGATCTTAGAGGTCTTTTCGATGAAGGTCTTTCTGATCCACTGCTATGGCCTTCGTTCTGTTTTTGCCTTGCAGTTGGTTTGTTCTTCTTCAGCAAGTTTTTGGTAATGTTTACGGACTCAGCTTTAACAGCATCATCGAAAACCTCATCAGCTGGATTGTTGATGGTTTTCGTCGATTTGATTTTTGTTTTATTGACTGGTTTATTAGTATAGGATTCTTCTTGCTTCCTAATACGCTTTGGCTCCTCTGCCTTTGCAGCTGGCTCAGCAATGTTGTCCAAGGAAGCCCATTTTCTAGTTAGCTGATTAGGCTTTACATTTTTCTTTTCCGGTTTGTTAATTATCAACGTTTTGTCACCCGGCAGGTCTTTGATGTCATTGTTTGTATTGCTGCGGTTCAGCAAATTAGAAGACTTGCCTGGCTTGTCGATTTTCCCATTCTTACGAGCATCCTTCTTGAACTTCACGTCCTTGCACTCAATATTGAAGGTTTTTGCATTATTAGCAGGTACAGGCTTGGTTAGAACATCTGAATAGCTGGGTCTCATCGGTTTTACTTCAGCTAGTGGCCGAGACTTCCTCAAATCCTTATTGAAATTAAACTTGTCATTGACAAACTCGTGTTGCTTAAATTTGAGATCTTCTTCGATGGAATTGTCTCCATTCTGTGCCTGAAAGTCGAACAGGCTGGGTTTGAATGTATCAGTGTTTCCAAACGGACTGTATGTTGCAGTATTGTTGGGCATACTCCAATTTCCCACCAAGTTATCGAAAATAGGTGCATTCTGGTTCAAAGAATCGTGCAGAATATTGTCGGCAATTACTGACTGAGGATAACTATTGTATAAGGTTTGTGGGGCACTGTTTGATCGCAAATCATAACCATTGAACTCGGGCATATTGAGGTTCTTTTGAAACACAACTGGTTCAAACATTGAGCCATTCTGATTGATATAGTTGGCCAAAGGCTCCTGACATGCCGGGGACAAATGAGGCTCCGGATAGGACAGTCCATAGTTCAAGTATGCGTTAGCATTGGGCTGGGGGTTCCAGTTAATTGGGTCTGAAACACTTTGTTGCGCGGAGAATCCAAGAGGAATGTATTGTCCCTCGTTGCGGATGTCCGAAGCCATTTCGCCGATTATTCGCTCTAATGGGTCGTTGACTGACTGTCGACCATTCGGTTCAGACATTTTTGTGAAACTGATACGAAATTAATTGGCACTGAATAAGGGCTAGATCATTTTTCGAAAATAATTCTGTAAATATTTTTCTTAATGTCACAATGACGTTCACTGACGTTTCCACATATTCAAAAGCAATCACTTTGAAAGCTCGATACGGTGACATCTGTCGGCAGCTTCCAGTTTTCTATCGGTTTTCGTAATAATTTTCCAGGACTTATCGAATTTTAAACCTAAACTATTAATGGGGTGTACACATGATATTAAATGTGATTTGATTTGTAGCTAATTTTGCTTTTAGCCTGATAGCAGAAATTGCCTTTCGTCAGTTTCAGAGTTGCAAACTGCTGCCATAGATGTCGCGGACTGCTTATGTGCCATTTAAAAAACAATTTGAATTTATTTCAAGGGTTCAGGGGTTTAAATTTAATTTTTGCGCTCAATTATATTTAAAAAAAATGGCAACATGTTTTTGTACGCAAGTAGGTTTGCATCGACGCTGTCGCCATTTTTTTCTGTTACAAGTGAAGACAGCGAAACGTCACTTTCGGGAAGAAGTTAAATTCGGAAAAAGTGCAGTTTTTTGCAATTTCCCGTCTTGTTGGTCGAATTTTCGGGCAAAAGAATGTTTATCTCGGTCTATTCATATGCCATAAATTCCAATATGATACTGCTGAACCTACAAGCATCGACCCAGCTTTATACCGAAGAGCAGTGGAAGATGGTAAGAGTTGCTGATAAAAAAAGGTAAAACTCGATTAAAAACATATTTTGTCAATTTAGTAATATTCAGATGTCTGCAAACAACTGAATTTGTTTCAAAGTTGTGGAAAAAAAACCATCCAGAGCTACCCAACGTTTTGAAAATTATGCTCACCTGAATGTATGTTCTGTAGCAAACAGATACAAGTCTCTGATAGCAAATGTATTTAAGGTTGCATTTTAAGTGGGACATGATATTTAAAATTCCACGTAATTCTCGCATTCCTATTTTTGGGACAACTCTTTTTATTTAACATCATACTGCCTCAAATGTTGGCAAACTATTCCATTAGATGCAAAGCAAACCAACGGCAACGGCCCGTTTTTGCTCATTTCTCGGAGGCAAAATGAGCAAGAACGCTCATTTTTACATCATTCTAGAGATAAATAAATGGCCCTTTTAGAAAGTGAACCATGGATGAGAAATTGTTGGCAGTTTTCTCAAAAAATGCTTGAATTGAAGAAGTTTTAGATTTGCGTGATTTTTTTTTGAGTTGCAAAATCCACTTGAAATGACGCTGCTTTTTTCGAAGTTTCTCAAGAACCATTCTAGCCAGAGAATTCGTTTTGGCATCGTTGTATAGAGAATTGAATGGGGGGGTCATGACCCCCATGACCCCCCTTCTGGATCCGCCCTTGGAAGCATTTCATAAAATAGCAGAAACTACTGAAAAAAATGACTGCTCTGTAAAGATAAACGCTTCGAAAAACAATTTTCGACTCTCGAGTTGGCTATTTTAGTAGTTTTGCCTTCAAAATCCTGAAATAACCCAGGACACTCGTAAAACGTTATACCTATGTCACATTAAAAACACATTTTGATATAAATTTGATTATTCATTGCAAAAGAAGAGGCTCAACAACTCTCGTAAGAAGGAATATAAAGTATAAAAAAGAAAATATTTTGTAAAAGAAAATTACACTGGTTAGAACCTGAGTAGTTTTGTCGCGACAGCTTCATATGAAAACGCAAATACATATTTTCAAAGCTTCTAGATTAAATAAGTGCCGAATTGGAAACTCGAGCTGATATGCTGTTGAAAAGTTGTTACTGGACTAAAAAATGTATTTAATACATTTAGAAGATTACGAAGGTTTATAAGAAGCTGTACTCACTAACAAATATTCTGAATATTTAAATCTATCGTTATGGAGTGAATGTGTTCAATCAAAATATTGTATGACCGAATTACTCAAATATAGTAATAGTCAGTGTCTTGGGCCAAAATTTTCAAATTCTATGTCATTTATGCAATTTCTGTACATATAACAACTCCTAGTTTTCCAAATGTGTAGTGAAATATAAATAAGAATTGTTATGTGTTTTATGGTTACCAATGCAAGTTGCAAACTGTCTTTTCGGGGTCCTAAAAACGGTTAAGACTCAGCTACTTCAGAAATCAAGTTAAAGAAAACACATTGAATTGTCTTGCATTGCTAGATATTAACCGCCATTTGCTATCTTCAATAAAATTTTATGAAGCAATCGATGATTTTTGTACGAAAATATCCATACAAATTTCATACATAGTTTTGTTACATTTTAAAATAGGTATTTGGTTGCTGCCTAAGTAAATTTGTTATAAAAAAAAACGTAGTGACTGAAAATAGCTTAAATTTCTTGATTCTTCTTCTACCACCAATATATTTCGTGAAAGCAAGCATCAAACTCCGGCGGCGTTTGATCTAAATCCGGCACTGATTATATAGGGTGTACCAAATTAAGAGCCCATCATTAGTTGCTGGTTATCAGCACTGGTTTGAATGGCAGAGTTGCATTTTTTATGCTGGTTGTGATGGTGCAATGAATAGAAAACAATGGACCATCGCATTGTAAAAATAAATGCAAAATAAAAAAAATAAATGCACAAAAATGGGTTTTAAAGGAACTACCTATATGTGTATTAGTAGCGAAAAGTGAAGTAAATTTAATTCTATACAAAAACTTTTTGTCTAATTTACATGTTTTTTTTACGTCCTTTTTACGTCTAATTACCTGAACAAGAAATAGGTGATCAATATCTTTAAAAAAATTAACTGAAATATAAAATAAAATAGTGGGTAATATTTAAAAATAAAGATCTTTACAGAATGTGTCTAAAAATGCTCCAGTTCTGGCTAATGCATTTTAAAGCGCATCTTTTTACAGAGTGAAATCTGACGTCCCTCAGTGTTGGTTCTACAATTTCATATTTTTCCCGGTACATCGAGTTTTTGAAAGCACCTCACAAAAAAGCGACGTCAGTGATGCGCTATACAAGGTGATCCAAACTTAAGTGAAAAATATTCGCTCGCTTGTTGCATATGTATTCAAACAGAATAGAAACTTGACGTATGGTCCTTAAAACTCACCAGTTTTCGACATACAGATGTTTTATTTTTTGTTTATTTTATCAACTATTAGGGATAGATAAGTAACTTAACTTTCGTACACATTTAAGCAAAGATGGAGCTACTTTATGAGTGGTAGTCAACTTTTTTTGTGTCTGTGGTGTAGATTTTGAGAGTGAGCGAAATTATTTTGCCACCAAGTTCTGCGACACCTTTTTACTAGCTTAAAAAGAGAATACTGAAGCATCGCAGTGAAGAACTAAAAATCAAAATTTCTTCAGTAAGTAACTAACATTGATAAAACGTGTCCAAAAGTTTTAATTTTTCGCGTTTTGGTTTTTTATAAACTATTTGAGACAACTGATTTTTTTCTCAGCTCCTGTTCGTGGTGCTACCTTATTCCTCTATAAAGTAATAAATAGGATTCGCCCTGTTCTCCAGCTGGGGAGGAGCTTGGGCGAAATAATTCCCTTCCACCTTAAAACCTATTTCACTAACACTTGATAAAAATGTTACTTGCCAGTCATAAAGCAACTCCAATCATTGATGAAATATGAGCAAAAGTTCAGTTGTCTATCTCAGATAGTTTATAAAATAGCAAACCAAAAAAATTAAACCGAACCTCTTTAACACCCTGTATTTCGAGA